GCCGCACGGCTTCCTGTGTGCGCACCGCCGTCTTCCTGTTCCTGGTCACATTCGTATGGCTCCAGCTGCACGTGGCCAGTCTCAATGGAAACAGGCAAGCCCCTGGAACTGACACTTCGGAGAGCAACGACTCCACCGCCGCCATCCTCAGCATGGTGCCTCAGGTCTGGTCACAGTCAGGTCCTAATTCACGTAGCAGTAATTCTTCTACGTTGGCTCGAGCCTACTTTTAAGCCCTGTCCTTTGTGGGGGAATTTTTCCGTCTATTTGACAGTTGGTAGCTTAGATGCGAGGGCCAGCCTGTCGCAAAATGGCGGAGACATGTCAGTGCGATTTGTGTCCGCTGTCGCAGAGTGTGATTGTGGTTAACATGCTTTTCGGATTGTTACATAAGCACAAAAGCATGTCCATCACACAGTTTTAAAAACGCGGAGGTAACTAACCGTCTGTCAGAACATTTGTTGCTGTACCGAAGTTCTTGTGTAACGTGTGACAATGTTCAGGTACTGCACAAGTTCCTGACGCCGAAGCCTCGAAACAGCAGCCATGCAGTGGTGGGCACCAATGTCAGTGAAGGAGCAGGGGCAGTAGGCCTGATCGGGCCGAACGCTGGTCGGGCTTCTTCCCCTAACATCTCGGACATCCGCCGTAACATTGAGCGCTACAACGACATGCAGCAAGTACTGAACGAGGAGCTCTTTGGTCCCGTGCAGAATGACTCTCTCATCATTGTTGTGCAAGTAAGACATGACGTGACTTATTTCTGTTGTGATACTTTGGTTTCTCGTTACAAATGAAGATGACATCCATCATGGAACTTTTGCTGTGTAGTCTAATGTTAGACGTGTGCCCTTGTTGCATCCATCGTCATCACCCTGCAAAGTAACATGGCACAATATCCCAGAAGGCTGTCGTCCTCATGTTTCTAAGTGAGGGCAAGAAAAATCACAAATTGGTTCTACTTAATAGCAAAACGTAACAGGTTTGACGATGGCTGGCATCTGGGTTGTTTCCTGTGTAGTCTAGTAGAAGTTTACCTGCGTTTCATCATAGCCCTGATGATGGAGGCAGGAAGCACCTCTGAAACGTCAGTAAACTTCCTCGGCGCAACAACCTGGAAGCCGGCCATCTTCAGACTCACTGCCATGAAAACCTCAAATCCTGCATAAGACAGGTTCTCTCAAGGCAAGCAAATTTAAATATACGTTCGTATTCTAGCTTTTTAATGCCTGGAGGTAATAATATTAACCTGTGTCTACATTCGGTAACTCTACGATTCCCCACATGTTGAATTTATGCGTTTTATACGATTCTCAGATTAAAGAGCTGTTCTCTCTAAATATCGTTAACCAATGCATCTTTGTAATCACGTGGTGTGTTTTCTTTGTAGTAGGAACTGAACTTCAAAATGTTATTTTGTTCATCTTCGTGCTTTGTTGTGATAGGTACACACGCGCATCATCTACTTGCGACACCTGATCGTGAGCTTGGCGCAGGCACGGGACATTGACACGGTTCTTTTGGTGTTCAGTCACGACTACTATGATGAGGAGATCAACGAGCTGGTCCAGAGTGTAGACTTCTGCAAGGTTATGCAGATCTTCTACCCCTACTCTATACAGACGCATCCGAAGGAGTTCCCCGGCGAGTCGCCCGGAGACTGCCCTCGCAACATCAAGAAGGAGCAGTAAGTGCCTGTTATCCCGTGACAACCTCTTGTCGCTCGTGTCATGATAAATTGATCCGAATTTTAATGTGCCCTCGAATATCATACGCATATCCCAATTTTCAAAGGTTCAACTCAAAAAAAGAATTTTTGTCCGCTTATGACTTCTGTATCTGTAACAGCGTTATCGTGTAACTGCCTGAAACATGTGTTTTTACTGTTATTAATTTTTTAAATGTTTATGCGTTAGTTTTTCTCAGTGATTATACAGAGACCCTGTCTTCGTTGTAGAGTACGTCGTGATGTGTCGAAATATTAATTTTGTACAAAGTTGCTAATCACATTTATATTATTTTTGTTGCAGTGTGGACTGAAATCATTTGTTTAATTTCGATACATTTCTTCCAGCATGTCTTAAAGGTACGAGCCTTCGTAGCTCAGTCAGAGGTTTTATGTGTAATTGTGTTGGCCGTCGCAGGGGCTCTAGTTAGCACGCGTGTGTCTCTGTACAGGGCGAAGGAGATGCTGTGTAACAACGCACTGTATCCTGATCTGTACGGGCATTACCGAGAGGCAAAGTTCACGCAGACAAAACACCACTGGTGGTGGAAAGCGAACAGGGTGTTCAACCAGCTGGAGGTGACACGGAACCATACAGGTACGATGGCTGTTCAAGGGCTAACTGTGGCTATGCTTTTATTGCGAATACAGAAATAAAATTACGTACTTCTTTATATGATATTTAAAATTATATAAACGAGCAAAAATTAGAAAAATAATTGCATAAACAGTGGTTATCGAACATTTACATCCAGTACGTGATTGTTGAGACCAGTACAATATGTAAAAATGCAAAGAGCGCATCTGGAAAATGGATGTTCTTGAAACTGGCATCCGTCTTTCAACCATTGTTTTATTACGTTTCAGTACACATAGACGAAGGTTACAAATGCGCTCGTCACAGGCAAATGACTTTATATTGCTTGAGCCGTGCTGTGCACTGCGGTTTCTTTAATCAAATGATCTTCTGTTTCATTTCACTCGTGATTCTACGTCTGGAACAGTAGTCTGAGTAGTTGGTACACTGTAAACAAACGCATATGCCGTTCCAGGCATGGTTCTGTTTCTGGAGGAAGACCACTTTGTAGCTGAGGATTTCATCCATGTGCTGCGGTTGATGGAGAGAACGTGCCACACAAGTTGCAACCGCTGCAACATTCTTTCGCTGGGGACGTACCTCAAGACGTACAACTACTATGGGGACTCCAAGAAGGTAGGCGGGTCACAGCATAAAGTTTTTAGGTACCATAAAGCAGTTTGCTTCAAAATCTATTTACTTTGCTTATCAGAAGTTGCAGCTGAACACAGCGAATTGAATGGCACAAGAAACTGGTTCAGCTTCTTCGTTTGTGGGAGCGTTTGGTGTGAAACCTGGTTGTGTGAGTTCAAGATATTTTCATTTTAAATTAAGTGCACCCGCTTTACTGCACAGCTTTTGGTTTATTTTCTACGGAATCGTGAAGAGCTTTCGTTTTTCGCTCGGAGCGGCGTAGAACACAAAAAAGTATCAGTATCATACGTCAGACATTATTTTGTCATATTGTTTATCTGTTGGGAAACTACTTTCTCCATTTGCCTCGCGTAATGTGTTCTGGATGAAATTTTAATCAATGTTATCGTAATTTGGCCAACCAGCTGCAATACCGCAGTGAGATGACTGGAGGCTGGGGTTTGATTCCCAGTATCAACAGGAGCCTTTTCCGTCATGGTGATGTTCAAACTCCTCAGTGACAGTCATGTGGCGTTAAAAGGAAACAAAATGGCTGTAAGAGTACTTTACTTTTTTTTTTTTTTACTGAAAACCTTTGGAACATTATATGTTAATTTTAATATTTTTTCTTTCGGTCATATCGGTGACAAAACTTGTTGTGTGCGGACTGTTTGAATTTGTGTTTAAATGGTGTTCAGATGCAATGCAGTAGGCAGGGGAAGTTTAAGGAGGAATAAAAAATGTTCCCAGTTTGTTACCGGAATCTCCGTCTTCTGTTTTAGCAAGCTTGTTGCTGATCAGTTATGTATGTGGAAAATGCGCGTCTGTTGAAGGTTGAATCAACCTTCTTTAAGGTGCTCAGGTGTTTTGAACAAAAAAATTATAAATACATAAGATATAATATGAGGAACATATAATTGAAGTGACTAAATTGTGTTTAACGTTGTGTGTCTTGTCTAACACACGGTGATTATACGGGTTTGTGAGTGTTCTAACCTCGTGTATATAATGTGCATTGCCGTTACTTGTTCTGTATGAGTAAAACCTGACCTTTAAGTCACTTTCTCTTGTGGGAGTCCTAGGACAGAACAACACGCTTTCCTCTCTCACTACTCTTACTAGTGTTCGTTCGTGCTTTTGTTAGTCATTTTCTCCCCTGTCTCGAAATTAAATGTGCATTTTATAAATATTATTATATTTGTGCCTAAGTTTGGGGCAATTTTGTGCCATCTGCTTCAAACTTTGGTGTGGTTAATTTCAATTTATACATAAATTTATGGGGATTCTAATAAAATTGTTAATCAAACGCCAAGTGTCGTTGGCCATACGCGCACATCTGAATTGTAATGGAGCCAGTATCACATAATGCTGTGCACTTTCTCACTGCTGCTATATGTGTGTGTGTTGTGTTGTTGCGTTGCAGAAGGAGGCTCAGAGAGCCCTGAAACGTCATCAGACTTTCTCTCCAGGGTCAATCCCTCCATCTTGGAGCTTCCAGATCCTCCCCACTCTTTATCAGCACTACCAGAAGGTAGAAACAATAAGCAAAACACTACATCTTGTTCCTAATGCAAGTTGTACGCTGGTACTAGCCATGGTTACATGTATTTTTGTCCTCTTAAGAATCTGTGAACGTTGCGTTATGTTTTGTAGTGAAAGCTTATTTGTGTTTAGTGTGCCTCTTTTCTCAACATAACGTCCATGTTGGTAAAAGATTGCGGTTATGTGTGCTGATTTATTTTAATCATGGCTTCCAATTCACAACCCGCATTTTGAATGTGCTTCTGCTTTGACACTCTGCTACGCACTTTCATTCTGGCTTGCTTATCCTGTGCATAGCCGTACTGAAGGCACGAGACAGGTAAATGGTTTGTATAAGAATTGCTCAGTAGAAACCCCTTTTGGTGATAAATAATCATGGGGGCAGATTGTCCATGTTCACTGTGTTCGCCTGGCTAACAATGAAAAATAAAAAGTCTTCTGTCTTACATCTGTGGTTCAGTGGTACTCCATACACCGGAACGTGGCAGAATCGATCAAACAAAAAGTGTCATTGGTCGGCTGCTGCCGGCCAGGCGCTTGCAGTGAGTGTTAGCCTCGTCTGTATGGCTAACGTATATTATCTGATCAGTTCTGCTGTGTTCCGATGTGTGGGAGTATCACTGAACTATGAAAGTAAGACAGAATACTTTTTATTTTTTGTTTTTCTAAATGTTAGCCAGGCTAACATGGTTAACATGAACTCTCCATCCCTGATTAACACTGTTGCTGTTATGGATTGTATAGTTCTGTGCTGGAGAGGATTATCCAATGATACAAAATGTTTTAACACATTTCTTCTTTGTCTGTTTTGAGAAATTTTTCCAGTGGAATGAAAGTTATGCATGTAAGTGTGTATGTTTGTATGTGTGGGGCTGTTATGTTGTCTCTGTCCCTGAAATTCTCCTCAGTGTTGGCTTGTCGTTTGCAATATTGACACCACATAACCTTTGTGGTTGATAACTATCATTAAATCATGTTGATTATACATATAAAGATGTAAATATCAATAACTTCCATGCCTGTGCATATTAAAATCAGAGTAATTTCATTGTGTACATGAAAATGTTGCTTAATTATTAGATTTTCCTTGTTTCCTACATACATTGTTTTATCCGCAGCTGCATATTTCATGAGCCTTGCAGTTCATTTCTTGTCTTTTAATCAGGAGTGAATATGATGTAGTGTCTGTCTGGGTCTTCGCCACTAGACATCAAGAGATTACATTTACATACCTTTCAGGTATCTTGGACTACGTAATATGTTTGTATTATGTTGGGCATTGTGCGTTATGTTGGTAAAAAATTTGTATTCAGTTTTGGAGGCTGACTCACAGGCAGTTCACATAAAAAGGAAAGTATCTGCTGTGAGGTTGTGATACGATGTAGTCTTCTCAGTGGTTACCAGTGTTTCGGAAGAATGTACCGTCTTCACAGGCAAGGATGAAAGTGACACATTCCTCTGGAACATTGATGACCACCGACGAGACTACATAACATCACAACTTAGAAGACTACAAACTACATTTTCACTGCTATGAAAACCTCGGCTTTCACAAAACCATTCCTTACCATTAGTCCTAGATGTGTCCTACCACTGTAAGGAGTCATATTTGCTATTAAAACAACTTATATTCCGTTCGCAGATGCTACATAATCTCTGCATTTGAAAATGGTCGATTAAATATCCCAATAATTTTGAATGTTGAAGTGAGAGGGAGTGCTCATTAATTTTCTTGTCAGGCGGAGGTGACGCCGTGGATCAGCAGCAAGCACAACATGGGAATGGCTTTCAACCGCAGCACGTGGCTGGATGTACGTCACTGTGCCGAGTTCTTCTGCACGTACGATGACTACAACTGGGACTGGAGTCTGCAGCATATTTCTCAGGGTTGCCTGAATCACAAGCTGTATGCGATGGTCATGAAGGGCCCTCGTGTCTTCCACATCGGGGAGTGGTGAGTAATTGTGTTACGTAGCAGGAAATTTGAATACTGATTAATAGAGTTTCACTTAAATAGTTGAGAAATTCTTTGCTGTGGCATAGTAGTTCCTCTATCAATATGAAACGTTTATTTTAATATGCCGCAGAAGTGTTACACGTGAGGATAAGCCGACTGTTTGTGGATTAATGGTGAATCGTGACCTACAGGTTAAGCCTGATGGTTGTGAGGTCAGATTTAGGGTCGTGGGATGAGAAGGTTTGGAGGCATTGCATGCATTAAACTCTTCAAGCTTTGCATAATTAAGTATTGTTTCCTACAGTGGAGTCCACCACAAGAAAGCGAACTGTGAATCCACAGCAGTGATATCGAAAGTTCAGCAAGTGCTAAAGTATGCCAGCAAACATCTGTATCCAAATTACCTAACACTCACTGTGACCAACACGAACAAGAAGCAGAAGTTGCGTAAAGGTAATGGTGGCTGGGGTGATGTGCGGGATCACCAGCTCTGCATCAACATGACTCGCTCGGGAAGGTAGTATAAGGCGAGTCTCGGACCGTGGTGAGCGTCTTGGGATGATTTGCCAGCCCACTTCTTCAAGAACAGTCCTCGTCTGACGGTCACTGATGTGAAACCAGACTAAACTTCCACTAAGTTCAGAATGGATGTTAAATTGCGGTGCCGGTAAGTGTCGCAAGTGAGCCAGTGGCGTTTGCACAGTTGTACAAAATATATCTCTCTGCAAGAAAAGTTATTGTAACATTTAAAGTAGTAGTTTCTTATTCGGTGAAGTTAGCTGTTGCGCTGACATGTTTGTGAAATGTCTTGCAGTTCAACTCTACGCTGGATCACAAGTGGCGTATGGTTACAGTGCATTTGTGTTCAGGCGTTTCGACTGTGTCGTTGCCTGATCACAAGCACCAGCTGAATTGAATGAAATTTATTTCTTACTACGAACATGGAGTTGGCTATTTCATGACAGTTTTATTCTGTTTTCTTTTGGAATATTGAAATGCAAGTGTGAAGAGTTCGGATAGAGTGTCTGTAATAATGGCCCTTGTGTCAGGATTTGTGTATGTATTGGTTTCTTGACATCACTGCCATCTTCTGACGCCCATTCACCATTCTTCTCTTTCCATCCAGAATTTAAAAATTCCCAGGTTTTGAAGTACAGATTTGCGTAATTCGTGATAAATCACTCGGTAAATCTAGAATTCCGACACAAATTTTCCTAACCTGCTCCATTTGTTACAAACTTAATGAGAGGGTAAATGTGGTCTTCTCATTGTTTCTACCGTATTTAAAATGTCGGATTATAATTTTGAATTAACCGGGCTTAATCGCGTGCAGGTTTCAATGAGGTGTGTGAATTAAAAATTGGCCCTTTAATGCCGAGTTCTTTTTGATTTGCTTGTTAAATGACAGATATTACAGGAAGGAGTTAATCTTCGGATATAATGAAAGAATCGGAACCGAAGTCTTGATCCGAAGAGAGAATTATTTAGTATGTGGTGCTGGAATTGTGATATTAACAGCTTCATTGCCTGTTGACCTCCCAAACTGGAATTTGCTTCCATCCGGTAACTTTTTTCATGTATTCGGTTGACTGTTATCACAGAAAACTGTAAATTGCACCGGAAGACAAATGTCTTAGGATGGAAGTACAAAGTTCTGAAAACAAGGCGACTTCCGCTCTGCTGTTGTATAACATAACCAATCAAAATGTTGCCAGCACTGTGAATGAACAAGACTTGGAGCTTGTACTGCTGTAGTGTTAGTGTATTTGAAGTTTGCAATTGATTTTTGACATTCATTTGGATAGTTGTGAGATTCAAAGCAATATTTATGATGTGGTCTCCAATCTTCTTGCCCGTTCATTCCAAATTGTCTGTAGCATAATGCGTGAGCAGACGTGCATGGTACAGGCTGCTGTATAAGCTTAAGAAATTGTTTGTTTGTTAGTTATGAAATAAGTAATTTATTTTGAGGCATTGTATATCAAGGGACAGTTATTTAACATACAGAGATAATGCCTTGGCCTTCTACGACAGGCAAGTATTAACAGTAATTTTAGATTATAATCAGTTGCCCCTCTCTGAAACCCAAAAGGAATAAAATAATTACATATTTATCATTAAATGATTTTATAAAGCACTACAGGAGAAATTGTAAAGAAAACGTCAAGAGCTCTGATTGGATTCCACAAGAAATTACCAATGCAGGGGAAGAAAATTCTCAGAGAAAGGTGAAACAATTCTGTTTTGTAATATCCATAACAAAAGAATGTTTCTCTCTCATTTTGTTTATCCGTCCCTTTGTCGGTCTTCCAACATTTCCCTTCTTTGTGGAGCACAACTCAAAACTGTCTTAGGGATTTAATTTTCCTCTGTAATTTCAAAATGTTCCCACCATTTATTTCTGTAGTCTGAAGTTTCATTTCACTGTAGGATTTTGGATTATGCTTTTATTTTCTGAAGGTCATAGGCACAGAGCACAGTCGTTCTACCTAAGTTTTTCAGAGCTATTGCTCCTGCTAGTGATCTCAGAAAATGAACTTCTGATCTGTACGAAATGACATCACTTCAGTTCTGAAAAGCTGGTTTCCACATCATGTGGTTTGTACAGCACTGCACTGGTTTTGTTTTATGGGTGTTTACGCAGAACGTAAGATGACTCGCAGATCGACCAACAAGAATCATTTTTATATCTCATTGTGTCTGCTGGTAATCAAACTGAATCATGATTTCGTTTATTTCCTGAATAATAAAATTCAAGGTTAAAAGTGAAGTTATAAGTTACCATTTGGATGTGGGGCGTTAACGGTGATAGTTTGATGTTGGAACTAGGAACTGTGACTTGACATTGTTTTTTTTTTGTTTTTTTGTATGTACGTGATATATATTTTTTTTTTACAAGACTGTAAGCAGTTTAAAGCATTGTACACTATAAATATTTGAATTGTCGTTATCATTTAAGGTACTACATAGTGATTGCTCTTTGTGTCACGTGAAGTAGCGGTGACCCACTCGGACAACAACATGTCGGCGTTTCATGTTGCAATGTGATATCTTGCCAGACACTATCAATTGTATTGATTTTTACATTTTTGTTTAATTGTTTGAATCAGTGTACTCCATTATGGCCTACTGTGCAAGGTTCTTGCACATGAAAGACGCTTCCATATCAGTTAGCACAGTTTTGTGCTTTGTATGACGTACGGCGTTTGATGAGTCAGATTTATTGTCGTAATTAGGCGATTGCTTGTCACAGTAACATTTTTATTTCTTGTTAGTATAAGTATAGGGATTGGTGGTGGGCTCTTGTGAACATGGTAATGAATTGCTTAAATGCCATCATGTAAAACAGATGCAACTATGACCCAGAGATCTAAAACCCTTTGAAAGGGTCAGAGCACTGCGTTAATATTCACAGCTCGGGCAGTCTCTCCCCCGCCTTCGTGCTGTAAAACAGTGACAGGATTAATAGGGTCAGATGAGTATTGTTTTTGTTGGTATTTACCATCTGATTGTGTGTGTAAATGTTATAAAAATTTGTTTTAAATCGTCTGTTGAGATGTCACATTGCTTGATAGCTCTGGTAACTGCGGATTTATATTTATAGTTACGCGCACAGCACAAGGGCATAGTTATTATTTTTTACATTTCTGTAAAAATGTGTACCAAGTGCGAAGTGATGCTTTTTTAATGCTGTCATGTACTTCTTCTTACATGATTCTGAATATAAAATTGTCCTGGAGAGATGATTTTACATCATCTCCTCCTGAATTAAGCTTAATCTTATATTATATTGTATAAGTGTACTGTGTATTAAATGTATGTATGATAATGTGTAATGGATAAATGTTAGGGACTGGTTTTAAATGGACACAATACCTAGTGATATTTTGAAAGTCACATTATGCGCGTGAGGAGCGTCACAGTTTAAAGCCGCACCACACATAGATGCAGTCAAAAAGTTCATACTCTTCATTTGGCAGTGTTTGATAGCTGGATGTCGGCCGACAGTTTTCTCGCAGCTGAAACTACTTCGCGGTGTAATTGTTCATCAGTTTCGCAGTTTTCAGTTTTATTTTTTCAGATCATGGTTGCCATCACCTGCCACTTGAACTTTTATGGCTTCTCTTAACCATTGTCATGACGGCGCTACAGTCCAGAAGATCATCAGTACTCGAGTTGCTGTGGAAACCTAAACTCTTACTCTCTGGCCATGCTCACATAGTTAAAGCATTGCCATGTATAGGATGATTATGTAGGCCGCCAGGAACATTGCGGACTATAAAAGAAATAGGTTTCCTTAATTTTAACAGAAGTGAATGAGTAAAGTTGTGGACTCTGGACTGACAGCCCGGCATTACATGTGGCTTCTCCCTAAATACGAAGCTTTATATGCAATGTAACTGCACTGACAGTGATGTGATGGTGTTGGCAGCAAGCCATAATGCTCCAAGCAAAATATTTTTTATTTATAAGAAAATATGTATTACAAAGCTAATAACTTTTTCAAAGAAAGCAGCTGTTATTTTTTATTGGGTGAAAAGAAATAGTTCTATAGTTGCGTGTCAGTATGTTGCTGCACTTTTGTTTTTTAATTGTATATTTAAAAAAATTTGTTTGTTTATGTTATTATTATTATTATTGCTGTAGACTCTCATTAATTCATTTATGGCAGTTTTGCAGGTGTGTGTAATTAAAATAGAAAACGAAATAAGATGATGTAATTAGCCCGTTGGTGTACATTCCTGTCCGTATAAATTTGTAACGAGCCTGTTTGTTATTTAATGACAAAATCTTATGTCTTTGTACGTCGTCTTATAGTATAATATGGCATATTGGAACTCTCTATTTATAAAGTACCAAAATAATAAAAAAAATTGAGCTTGACACTAAAATGAGGGAATAAGTGACGATAAAAAAAATTGAGCTTGACACTAAAAATGGGGGAGTAAGTGACAGGTGAACTGGACGAAATGGAGTTCCAAGTTATGTTACTTATTTGATGTCCTTTCAGAATCACTGTTTTGGTTCTTACTTAACTATGGCCTAATAACAGAAGCAGATTTATTGTGTTGGTATTATGGCTGAACGTACTAAGTATGCGGGAGGAAGCTTCATTCCGTGTTTGAAGGTACTATCATGGTTTCTGTATTTGCCACAATATAATATATTGTCTCTTAAAATCCTTTCCAAAAAACGGATCGACTGCCAGTTCTGTTTTGTTACTCTTTTCATTGAAGTTAACACCAAAAATTTTTGGTCTTGTTATTGAAGTTACTTCTTTGTTGTTACTGTTTCAATTGTAGATGTCCGACGTATGAAGTAAGCAGTACACTAATATTTTATTTGGGTGAAAGGGGATTTAGTACATAACTTGGAGGAACTTGTACAACTTTTACTGCTGTAGATTGTATTGGACAGTGGTATTTAGAATACTAACAAATAACCACAGTCTTACTGTGTCAGAATATTTTGCCAGTGTAAAGCTTACTGGCAGAGTTCCTCCAAATAATATATTTATCTAAACTAGTGAAAGATTTCCTTTTTAAGTTAAGTTTGTTTCATATTTGCTATAGTTCTGTGCTGTGGATAAATGAGAGTCTATTTATGATATGTACTTCTGTGATCAATGATTGAACAAATTTAAAATGATTGGTTAGCAATGTCGATATTTGAAGTCTTAATTTTTTTGGTGCTAAACCTGTCTCATTGTGTGACAAATGTTATTGACAATACTTGGCATGGCTCTGTATCGACACGCCTTCCGACAATGTCGCCAGCTGCGAACGTGTATTGGTTTCGTCGCGGAGTCTAAAAAAGTTTTTACAACTCTAGTCATTTAAGTAAAAGAGTAACTAAATGTATTTATATTTCTGTTCCTTGTACATGTGGAAAAGTATTAAAATGTGTGCACGTGTGTTGGTTTATAAAAAGAGAAAATGTAATCAGTTTCATTTCATTTATGAATAGTTGGCTGATTTATGGCTTCCGGCCCTTCGTGGACTTCACTGAATTGTGTCGCCTGTCCTTTGCAAAAAGAAAAGCTGTAATGACTGTTAAATGTTATTGTATTTTGTATCAATGTTTATACTTAATTGCCCATCAATCTGTCAGTTGTGTCCTGGGTCTCTTTCAGTAATAGTAAAGTGGCCATTGCTGGAAGATCACCAGTATCAAGAGTTAAGGCGATAATCGCCATCACAGGTGTTGTGTCGCTCGGTCACCTTTCGAAGTGAACGTGTCTACATCAGTTGCTTTCTTCCGCAGTTTGAACTTGATCATGAAGTCAGGTACATTGCATCTGTGTGATGTCAGCACGGTAAGTGAATTACTGTTTGTATCTGAAGTACATTATTTTCCTTTTTTAAATTAAACTATTGTTTGGTTAATGTTTATTCTGCTTGTCAAGCTAATTGTTTTGGGTCGTATATTTAAGATGATAATTAAATACTGAATTAGGATTAGGCAAGGAAGTTGTATTACAGATTGGATTGTTTTATTGTGTTTTTTGAACTTTTGTTTTACACCAGATTATGGCCTGTTTTTACATAGATTTGACAGCTTTGTCTCCAAAAATGTAACTTAAATTTTACCTACTTTTCACTTCATTGTGCCTAATTTGTGGATGGTTATTCAACAGCAAGATTGTTGAAATGGCTCCTTTCCCTAGAAGTAAAGCAGCTGAAGGGAGAATCTGGATCCTCATTCATGTAGGTTAAGAATGAATGGAACATCACCTGTACTCCCCCCAATGCTTTTGTGGTGTGGTGCCTTGTCTAGAGAGAGAACTTTCTGTTAGCCCATTGTAACCAAAAGCTCAATTACTTGTGCCACTTTTGCGTGAAGTTTAAGAGGCATTGGTCGATTTTCGATTGAAAATTTGGGTGAGGATCGAGCTTTTGTAGCATACTCGAGAAATGATCAAAGAAAGTTCGATAAAAACTTCGACAGTTTTTCTACCCTGTATTTAATTCGTGTCTTATTGGCTGCAGGGCGAAGTGTGACTCGTATTTAGGATAAATGTTTATTAAGTAGGATTTTACGACGACGATTGCGAAGATGGCTGTCTTCGAGGTTGTACACGGCGCTGCAACCTAGAAGACGGCGATCTTTCAATTATACATGTGTATTCTATTTCAGTTATATCGCCGATACATTCTATCGCTTATTAGTTCATAATGTTCCTTGATATGGCGTATAATTGAGGATTATCAAGACGTCGACAGTTTTGTCGCCTGTTCATTATGTGTGCTTTTGAGTTTTAAGTGATAGTGCACAGGTTAGAGAAATAGGTCTGAGGGTTGTATTCGTACTGCGTTTTCTACAGATGGTGAGTAAATATCAAGCCAACATTTTTTGGGGAGGTGATACATAATAAAACTATGTATTAAATATGGATACATTTCAAATGAAATGTTATTGTTGTTGAGAGCTTCTTAAGTGAAAGGCTAGGAACCTAGCTTGAGAAAACCTGCTGATATGTTGTTTGTACCAAAGGAAGTTCGGAAGCGTACCTGTTTTTTTTTACGATGCTATATGATTAGTCAACACCGGAGGTAAGTAGCGGTAGTGCCACAGTAATACTGCATAGAAAGATATAAAGCAAAACTTAATAAAAGTTGCCACAATTTAGCATAATCACAAATGGCTGATCTTGTAAAGTTTTGTCATACATTTGACCTTTGTACTTTAAAGTATTCTGCAAATATTTTATCAATGATTAGGCATCCCTCTTTCTAACAGATGTTTGTTCTTTGATAAATATCAGGAATTACAGCATAGAACAAAATTTTATTAACAGGAAGTGAGTGCTGCTTAAATATACTATTTCCCATTAAATTGGTGAGATTTCAGGTTCTCACAGCAGTTGAGTTTGATAATTATTTCAGGGATGTTGCACCATGTAGTCTGATAAAAAGTTTGCCCCTACCAGACTATACCTTTCAAAAGCAGAAACCAATGGACGTCTTAAAGTCAGTGCAAAGTTTATAAATATCTGACATTAACATGACCACATGAAGAGAAATGAGATTCATGAAGAAATCGGTAAAGTAAAGGAAATCCTTATTAAGGCGAAAAACTTGTTACCGCTCCATTTTCCTCTGGGGTAACAATTTTGTTCTTTATTCTGTATGTTTGTGGTCTGGCTTGTTTTAAAACAAGGTGCTCAGAAAAATACCTAGGTTTATGAAGAGACGAAATAAGACAATTTTAGATGTTACAAGGCACTTACTTGTAGAAGATTCTGTACCTTAAAATCTTCTGTGAGATTTCAGGTTGTCACGGAAGCAGACACGAAGATTGACCGTCTTCTGGGATGTGTCCAGTAGTCTCGGAAGCTGACGTTTCAGAGGTGCTTATTGCCTCCATCATGCTGATGATGGAGGCAGCACGTACATCTGAAATATCAGTCGGCTTCTATGAGACTACTTGACGCAACATCCCAGAAGAGTCATTTTATTTCTTTTGCCAGGAAATCTTAAAATCTTACTCGAGTATGTAACATTGCAATATTATGGTAAGACTAAAGGTGTTATGTTGCTTGCAACCTTTATTGTACAGAAAATGTGCACTTTACATGTGCTGACAAAACAGTGTACAAAGAAAGAAATTAAAGTTTCCCAAATTCAAAACCAGCGTCTAAAGATAATTCGACACCAACTGCGTTAATTTACAATATACAGATATGGCTGCCACCTGGCAATGTCATTTTGAAAGACGAATATATATTCTGGCTTCTGCAGTCTTGAGCTTGTTTACTTGCCATCGAGCTGTTCGTAAAGTTTGGGGACGTAATCGTCCCACTGAGCCTGGTAGAAGTTACCAGCAATGGGATTTCCCAAATTGTGTTTTTTGGCAAAGTCCCTGACGGAGAACTTTCCTCGGTTATCTCCCGATCTGCAAATAAGATAATATTTTGATAATACGACATAAGAAAAAATAAAAAAACATGTATTTTTTTTCTAAATTGAAATGCCACGGTTCCTTCCTGGCATCGAAATCTTGTGGGCTGAAATAAACCTAACAATTTCCATATAATCATTTACCTGTTGGTCAGACGGGGCTCGTCATACGTAATTTTTCCAGGCTGCTTGTATACCAGAAAGACGTAGCGATGGAGACCTGAAATTATTTAGGCAAAATTAAGCTTGGAGGTAGAGGGACAATTACAAGCACACAAACAAAACTGGCAGAATACAAGCTTGGTGTCGTTACCTTATTACCTGGATTACGTTCACATACCTGTGCCCTTCGGAGGCCCAGAACCCACGTACTCAGAAAGAGTTTCACCCTGCGACACATCGTTGCCAGGAATATTTCCTACCAGCCAGTGATGCCATTCTCGAAACTTCGGGTCCTTGCGGCTCGGAGCATCAGGATCTGGCAATTCAAACGGTACAACCTAAATGCACTAAAACATTCAATCAGAATTCATTCCTCGTAAAACCTCGATGACAGAACGTGCAACTTTGCTCGCCATGGTTGCGGTATTATAATTAATACAGCCAGTCCCCATGTACTACATAAAACAAACCATAACAATGAAATAGATCAAATTGGTTTAAAATTACTGTATTCCGAAAAAGAAACCACCACATAACTCGGGACTGAGCAGAGAAGGTGGGATATCAGAGCAGGGTCGCCAAGAGCCACTCGTGTACCTGTCATGCACAGTAGATAGTAGGAGCCATCATCAGCACCCCAGTTGACAGTGGGTGGATCCTTCACCTTCGTTGGTGTCAGTTCATTCCCATCATCAACCTTTTCCGATCCATAAGACACCTGAAACATATTTTGTTTTTGCGTAGGTGGCGAGTGAAGAAACCAGTGTGGAATTTGGAACTTGGGAGAGAGCGGAGGATGTTAAAACCATCTTAATCCAGTGCTGGGGTCTTTGTGAACAAGGTAATGAACATCAGACGGCGACTATCAGCTTCCGAGGGACTCCGCTCCGTGGCGTTAGACCTATGGTTCTGTAAAGGTTTGTGACATTAGACGATTCATCACACTGCATTTATGTACGATACTGATCACTGCCTTACTGATATTAACGTTTGACTGCTTCTTATGGTTTGTATATTTTCAATGTCGGTAGCATTAATACAAACCATGTCCGGATGAACTTGTATTCTAACGACCAGGTCGGTGATGTTTAAAAATGTTCATTTATGTCGCTTTGAGGATGTAACTGGAGAAAGTTAAATGTGAACTTATCCTACAGTGCCACATATAAACACCAAGTCTATTTTATTGGTTTAGCTTGCTAGTTTATTAAAGTTACTCTTAAAAAACTGAAGTAACGCAGCCTTAAAATTTCTTTATCAGTTCATTTATTTGCTGGGCTAGCCATTCAGTATAAAGGCTGGGTACGATAAGTGCATATTTCATTAAACCCCCCCACCCCCCCCAAAAAAAAATCCTTCCTCAGCAAACATCAACTGATTTGAAAGCATTTACATGGCCTAAATTGCAAATGCAATTAGAATCAATTGTAACACTGGCAAATTTTCATTCTTACCTCAAGTTTTGCGCTTGGAGCTGTGTCAATTACATCAGGAACAACACCGTTTTTTTCCATGGTTTTTGGAACTGTGGACAGTAGGCGAGATAAGATGTTCAGTATAGGCCTTCTTGCAATCATTGTCGTAACCTTACCCAAATGTAAATAAGTGCATTAATTGTTCGATAAACCATGCCATTCTAAGACATAGTAAGATACTTATCATTAGCAAAGTCATTATTGGATAGTATTAATATATTGGATGTACCATGGCATTTTAATATACAGAAACGAGCATTTAAAAACGTAACAATAACGTACACAAAACTGCAATCAGTACCATGGCAAATTATTACATTATAAAATACGTTTCTATGAATCAGAATGGAGGTGTCTGAAAAAAAAAGTTGTGAAATATCTAAAGATTAAATTATTCCCCCTTATCAGTATTCACGACGCAGGATTCGCCACCTTAAAATATATTTTTAATTTCCTTCAAAACAAATTATTCGAGAGAGGCTCCTCCCCCGCCTGACCTTGGTAGCCTCCTTTGGTACAGTAATAGCCTTGGCTCCTAATTACCGGCAAACAAAAAATACATCACAAGGGAGAAGATTTGCTATAAACTAACGTCTATCAATGATTCCCCCTAATACCTTACACCTCTTCATACATGAAGAATAACTTGACTTTGCTTACCGCCTTCCCAATTTGACGATTACAACTTTCAGTGCGTAACCGATACAGTCGTCCTCGAAAACACAGCGCGTCTTCGCCGGAAGCTTCCACGAAGCGCGAACAGTGATGCCAACGCGCAAAACTAAATCATCGCTAGGAAACCAGCGAGATTAACCAAAGGACGTTATTTGTTTAATTATACATTTATGGTTCATTTAATGATTTATTATAGCGGAAAAATGAACTGGAAAGTATGTGAAAGGTGTCGTGAGACTGAGGAAGACCACAGAAACCAAAGACAGTGACGTAAGAGCCTGTACTGTTCTTATTTAATTCTTCTGGTTCAAGGATTTCAATGCCGTTCTTTGTCCATATTGTTAATAAACTCATTGTACTGACACAGTTTACTAGCAGCAAGAGTTGAGGATGAAGCTTAAATTTGCTATCAGCAACTTAATCTAACATTCATTCACGTACGAGAAACCAGACCCCGTAAAATATAGCATTTCCCCACTGTAGAGTGGTGATCCTTACTAAGTACACTCCTAAGGTTTCAGACTGGTTACGTCCAAAGGGGAAATTATTCAGTCTGGATAACGTAACCATGGAGACAAATATGATGCTACTAGGCCTAACTTATTTCCCATGGAAACGGAGTATATCACGGAGACCGTTCTGTACCACGATTGTTTCATGACGTAATTAAAATGGACGCTGTGTGTGGGGGTGGAATTTGATATCGGGCAGTTTTAACCATTGTCTTGTGGTTAGGCACCAGCGTTTCAGAAAGAACATCGTTCAAGTTGAGGGCTGGAGGCTGTGTGTACTCGGCCTACAAGTCCACACTCCGAAGGAAAACATCGACGGCTTTCGCATTGTTAACAAAATCACAAAACACGTGACTGCACTGTAACTTCAAATTTTTGTTCAGCCGATATGCTCGTAAGGCCAAAGTATTTCAGGGTGGAAAATACTGACATCGGAAACCTATCTTTCGTTTGCAGCAAGGAAAATGTTGAGGACATCATGTCAGCTGGGGAAATGAAAACAAAACATGGAGTCAACGATGGTTGTGATGTGAATTGAAAGAATCTGGATTACAGAATCATCACAGTGGTAATAATTCACGCTAACAGAAATTCCCAGTCACTATGTCGACGTGGATACGGACGTTTCGGAAGAACGTACTGCCGCCATATGTACATAAGCTGAAACATCACAGGTCCCGTGCAGCCATTGGTTTATTCTCAGAAGCGATTTAATAAATTCTGGGCACCCAACGAGGAGAGAGGCCTAAATGTCACACGGCGGCCAACTGCTTCTTTGGAGCTTTCTTGAAAAAGTATACGACGGGAGGAGTCCAACAGGCAGTGGAGTACAGTGGAAAGTATGTTAAGAAATCGACGGCTGCCACTGTGAGGAGTCTTCCTTGTGACCAGGAACACAGGATCCAGGTGTTAAAGGGGACGTAGTTGATCAGGATGGCACAGGTCAGCCAGAACATAAGTTCGCCGTCATCTTCCGTCTTGTCAGCGACGTCACGCCTTCGAAGTGCGGTCAGTACACACAGACATACGATGAGAATCTGCGGGATTATGCAAAATGTCACGCAGTGAAATATCGTTCTAAGTTTGGCGTTGTCGTCTACAAACACATCATCGACGTAGATGTAATCCGACGCTTCTGATGTAAATGCTGTGAGGAGGGAACAAAGTACAGCCAGCCCCCATATTACAGACGTCTGACGAGTGGCTGTAACGCATCGACCGCGCTCATGTCTGGTCGAAAGTGCCGTGGGGATCAAGTCTGGAAGAATGTTGATCGCTTCGTAATTGTCGGATGATTTCACGTTGGAAAACTTTAGCGCGCTGTAGACGACCATCGAGAAAAGTTGTACGCCCGTTGCGATGTTACGTGACATCAGGAAGGCGTCTTCCATGGGAAACCCCAGTCCGAAGTCAAGGTAGAAATGATGCAGGTAGTTGATTGGTAAGCAAAGAATCGCAAGGATGTTTCCGGCGATCAGGTTGATGAGACAAGCGTCAGTGGTGTCTCTGTTTCGAATGAACGTGGCAAGGATGTCGGCATTGCCCAGCGTCCCGATGAACCAGGACAGTAACCACAAGAAATTCTCGCTGGTAGGGTTCCAGTGTTCAACGCCCTCCTCGGTCCACATCTACGACAAAAGGGATTTGAGCAATTATAAGCGTGGTTAGAAACTGGTTATTTCCAGGTTTTTCTCAGGCTCTGAAAGGCGAGTCCTAGGATGGCACAATAGAACTTAAGTGCTTACAAGAGACAGATGCGAAACGTCTAACTAACATGCGAGGTTCTTTTGCATGCGAAATATTTTTATGCACCCAGTTGCCATATTTAATCAAGGCCTCCTTATCTGGTGACATGTCCTGATATTTCTGGCAACTAATGACATCTGGGTGAATGTTTACACGTTGTAATTCAGAAAACAAAATGTCGAACCATAAATATTATTTTATTGTGTAATAATTCTCCTGTGAGGACGGAGGTGCTTGGAATTTGCGAAGTGTCGTGTCCAAAAGAGGTATCTCGAGGTGGGAGTGACCCTGAAATTCCTTCGTATCTTATGTTCTTTTTAAATATTTCCTTTCGGTCTGTGCTCTTACAGACGTGAAGACAGTGCGAAGCGATCATATTTGTAAAAATTTAACTTCGTTAGTGGAAATTACGAACAAATGAAGGAGTAAACTGGATATTTCAAAGGAAAGCCGCGACGATCAGTGATTGGTCTATTGAAAATATTTGCCAATTAATTTCAATATTCCTGTCTCTTAATACGTACGTTTGCTGAGACTTCCGCGCTCCAGGGCGATCCGTCTCCGGTGGCTCGCGAAAATCGACTGGTCGTGGCAGTCCCGGTGAACGGGTCTGCCACGTCGTGGCTGATAAGCGGTGACGTTTATGGTTTGCCGAATGCAACGGACACAGGCGATTCGGCACTCGAACGGAAGGACAAGGCTATGACGAGACATGAGGGCTGAAAGAGAAAATGCTTGAAGAGTTACGTAATTTTTCACTCTGGGGCTTGAAAACAGGGAGGACGAGATGGGTCGGGCATGTAACACGCATGTTTTGTAGTGGTTCAGGTGGTGTGATCTTCGTGAGGCTGTAGAATGGGTGACGGAGATAATGCAAATATTACCGCAAGTTTCCAAGGTTGCTGTTCTGCAATCCTTGTTATCGAAAAATGAGATGATAAGAAATCTTCTTTGGTAGATAACTTCCATTATCAAAAGCAGAGGTCAGCATTCGAAATAGCGTTTTCAACAAACTTGAGATTGTATAATAGACATTGCAGAAATTTTGATTATGTCTCATTCCAGCTTTCAGATTTCATTATATCAGCCCTATAACAACAATAAAAATAACTCAGGGGTCGACTAACTTACATTCGCTATTCATGTTTGTCGAGGGCTGCAGGACAAAAAGAGCCCAGTCTCCGAAACGTCGTATTTTTTTTTAACAAAAATCAAGTCTATGGATAATGGCCAGAGAGTTCGTTATTTTCACGATTATTTCCTTAAACAGCGTTAACGAGTTTATCTTTAAAATGGTGAAGTGTGGTGTTTTCTTCGCGGTACGGACCGAATTCTTAAATGTAATTCAGACGAGCTTCGGGTTTCAAATGGTTTTATTACGGGCAGCAATACAATACGTAAGGTAAGTGATTAAGTCTTTATGACGGTGAAATGTTCGTATGCGCGCTAATCGACTCTCTGATTACGTTTCCCTTGATTTTGGTCTTTAGTTTTGAAGGAACCCTTAAGATGGAGGCGATACGTTGCTTAACGTTGATAACCACCTACACGATGTCCCTACCTAGAAGACCGAA